TTTATATCTTATGTTAGATAATGTTTGTACATGAAACAATGATAAATGAATTTACCCAAAAGTGATTCATGCTAAAACTCTGTGACCTGCCACCATTAAAGTGGAACAAATGTGACATAGTTCTCAGACTGTAAACCTTCCTTTCCCCCAAGCATGGATGAAGCGCTGTACTCAGCTTGGAGGTAAAATTTCTCAGACTGACTGGGATTATATAAAGTTACAATGCAGTATATGCCAATTTGAAGTGAAACATTTTCTGGATAAACTTTTTACTACCACTTGACAATGTTTCCACTGGGGCTCGTTATAAAATAGTAGGGCAGTTTATAACGAAAATAAACTACTGTAGTTGTTTTACAACCTGCAGCTGTGATGCGGTAACAGAAATGCCATCTCCAGTAATCTGCGCCTAAACCTGTAGTTTCAGACTTTTACATGCATTTCATGCTTTGCGACTCAAATATATTGAGTAATCCCAAAAAAGGAGCCCATGCTCTCCATAAAAGGGGGTCTTTTAATGCTCTGTTTATTATTTAACTCTGAAAATCAGACAAGAATAGCAGAAGGATAGAATTTAGTAATGAGCAGACCCTCCTCATTCTGTCAGAGAGACATGCACCAAGCTACCTGAAAGGTGACTCGGGTTCACAAGTAATCTCAGGGCTTTTTTGGATTAATGATAGCTATAAAGGGCATGGGACAAGGTCAAGAAAAACATCTTAGGTGCCTCCAACCCAGTTTTTGCAGCACGTAAAACTTATGCCCCTGTCCAGAGAGGGGCGATTCAAGGAGTTAGGCATCTATGCACCTTTTACAGTCAATGGGAGAATGAGATACCTCAGAAAAATGATCCACAAAAATCTCACCCACTGAGTAAAATGCCACCTAGTTCCAGTAACTGGAAATACTGAGGGCACAGGCATGAACTTCCTCTTCTCCAGACCTAAGCACCTGAATCAGAGCTACACAGCTGAGCCCTGGTTACTAGGCTTGATGAAATTAAGGACCCATGGAATTCAAAGCCACATATCCCACAGATCAAGAAAGTACCCAAGCCAATAAACAGCACACTAGCGTAGACTAAAGTATTCTCCACTCCTGCTGCTGAACCACAGCCACTGTGCTTTCAATAGCATGAGTCATGGAGCCAGGAAAAAGGGGTGAGCAACATGGATCCCAATTTAGATGCTCAGGTGGGAGGAGGGAGACCAAGATTCCAGCCTGTGCTCTCACAATTGTTCCTGGTTTTTATGCAATTATTGTGTCTTCATGTAAAGTGCATAAATACTGCTGGGGTGGGGCAGGGACTGCCAATGGCTTTTAATGTAATGGTCATTGGATAAAATAGAAAGACAGCAAGGGCTACATGACATTCCTGCTGCGCTTCATCAACCTGATGTTCAGTGTTAGGGTCAGTGAGAAAAAGGCAGCTGCAAATGGAGGGAGCCTCTGCTGGATATTGCCACTTCAAAATCATGACTTGGTGTAGAATGGCTTAGGTTAGGTTAGGGTAAGGAAATCCAATGCTCGTATATCTGCAGCCCTTGCGTCACAAAGAGAGAATCAAAACACTTTGCTTGACATTAAGTTGTTTATTGATGAAGATTTCAATATGTGCAATTTCTGAAGCTGAAATGTGACTGCTCTATTGCTCAATATGTTTTAAACTACCACTTTGGTCAAAATTAAAAATGAACTGTTCACTCAATTGGACAAATATGCAGTCAATGGTTTCTTGTCTGACTACAACAACAAAAGCCAATATTGGGAAGTGAAGGGAGGAATTAACAGCTTGTAATAATGTACGTTCACATGAGTTTTCCCAACAGAAGACAAATCGTGTGAAAGGCCTTTCCATTAAGGCAAACTTCAATAGTTCTATATATTTTTAAGTAGGGGGAGGAAAGCTGGACATGTACATAAGGCACCAAGCTTTGTAACAGTAGATCTGCAATCTTTCTCTGGCTCTGCTGTGCAGTCTTTATGCATGTATGACTTTGGGTAAGTCACATTACTCTCTCGGTGCCTGTCTTGCTCTACTCTGTAAAATGGGAACAACACATCCCTACTTGACAAGCCCTTGTTAAAATGTGTAAGGTGCTCAGATATGATGGTATGAGCCACAGAAATATTAACAAACATGGTGAAGATGGAGATCCTTCTTCCTAATTTCTAATTTGATCATACTTGGGGTGCCTATATATTGAATTTAACTTAGGAACCAGACTTTCTGTCTAAAACCGAGTGCAGTTCACTAGATTTCTAGTACCTTACTTGAAGATACGCAAGCTCTGGCTACATTAAAGGGGAATGGTTCTCTCAGTTCACACATGCCTACTGAACAAGGTGCCCTTACAGCCCCAAAATGTGTGTTGCCCTCTAGATTACATATGTGCTGACTGCTCACTAAGGCTATGTCTACAGGGTTAAATTTGAGGCCATCCTTGAGCCTATACTTACTAACCATGCGTAGTTTAAACCTTTATACTTATCCCCCCCAGATGTCCACCCAAACCTAGAATCTTTGCCAAATTCCTGGCTCTTGGATCAACCCCATCACCACTCACTTCCTAGCCCACCCTTTTTTCTGTTGTGTGTTAGGCACCGCAAGGCAAAACCACAGGAAGTCTGCCAGCAGTAATCCCACAATTCCTTGTTCTTATCTTCTGGCCCTTCTGCACCTCCCTTTCCTCTCTCTACTGACTGAAATTAGAGGCAAACCCAGATGGAAAAACAAGTAGCCCTCAGATCAATGTCTAGAAGGGGTCTGCTGGCACAAGAAAACCTGGGGCACATCTTAGTGCCACATTTTAGAAGTAAACAGCACAGTGTCAATGACTATGGTGTGGGCTACGGGATATCATACTGACTAGGTAAGGGTGGCTCACACGACAACCTCAAGGCTGACCCCAATTATTGCAAGAGAGCACTAGAATGCCAGGGTGGAGGCCAGCAACTCCTAGACATGCCACACAGCTCCTTGATTATTTTATCCCTATCAATGAGAGCCAGCCAGCCTGTGGGAGTTAGTACAACCCCCAAAATCAAGTAACACAGATGCACAGCAAGTGAAAGCTCTTTGTCAGGATCTTTTTTTTTTCCCCTTTACCAATCTCTCCCAAGCTTGGTTTGTTTGCAGGGTTAGAGTTAGGAACTACCTGACCAGTGCACTTTGTTATCTGGAAGGCTTTCAGAAGTCTATCCATGACTAAGTAATAAGTACACACAAATTTTGACCCAACCCCAGTCACCGAGAGAAAGGGTCCCCTTTCTTTCTAGATGTGTGTGACCAGGTTCATATATTGTCTTCATCATCACAGCTGCTGAGAAGCCACCCCCAGTAAAGCACTTTCAGTTTGAGGAAAGTGGCAGGAACCTGGCAAGTCTCTTATCCTTGCCCAGCAACACCGAGTTGTCAGTCAGCAGGCTTCCCAGACACCATTTGGTCTCTTTTAAAAGTCTTTCTTGAAGTAACAGCACCAAGTCAAACAGGAAAGAATCTATTCCCCTGTTAGGGCAAAGGATGCACTCTGTGCATTTTCTAAAGTCATTCCCATAAACCAGACTGCAAGCATGTGGGAAATGAGTAAAGCCTGACCCCAAATATGACAATCGCTCTGACCCTGAGCAGAGGGCCAAGACCCTCCAGCCACAAACCTCTAGGTTTAAATCCCAGCAGGAGCACTGGCATTTCCCAGCCTTGGCTGTAGCCAACGCCCAGTTGTTCTAAGAAAGGCTTTCTAAAAACCCTGATACATGTAACAGCAGAAGAGGAAAACAAAATTCCCTCCTGGCCCCATGTGACAACCAGCAAGGCCCAGAAGCATAGGAAATACCCTAGTATAGCATAAGCATAGATCATCCCAGAGCAATGCCTGTCCAACCTCTTCTTGAACACCTCCAGGGACAGAGATGCCACAACTTCCCTCGGCAATCCGTTCCACTGCCACACTTCAAAGATAAGTTAAATTTTGGAAAGTAACAGAGAATCCATAAATTTAGGTTGTACAAAGTTAAGAAATGTACATGGTTTACTTCTCTAAAAAAAAAAAAGTGTTTTATGCTTGAACCTTACAAGAACTACTTTAAGATTCAAAGCAAAACTCTAATTATTGATTCTTTGTTACACTGGGAAATTAGCTCATCTTAGTCTTAAAGTTCTATTTATAAGCCTAATAATCTCATCATTGATTACAGTGACTGTACTCTAATTATAAATCCATTATCTCCCCAACAATGAAATAAAGTCAATAATGCACATAAATGAAAAAAAGGAACTTAAATGCATACATTAATGGAGTTCCAACTGGCACTATTTTATACACCATCTCTGACAAAACTGTGTCACATCATTAGCAATAAAAAATAAATCCTTTTCAATTAGCAGAGTTGATTTGATACTCCGTTCTGTGGAGCAGCGATACATTCTAAATGCACACATCTGGAAGTCTACGAACTCCATCTACATACCAAAAATTTTCCCACTATTTTTTTTTTAATCCAAGTGCTGGAGTAGTCGCATGGTAAAGATGGCATTTTTATGCCTCTGTTTCAAAAAGTAAAAAGAAAGAAAAGTCTGCAATGATGGTCTGACTTCTAACTAGTGCTAAAGCAAGACTGTCAAACAGTACCTGTGACCTGGATCTGGCCCACCGGGCTACTGGTGGGCAACCAGAAGTTGGGGATATCGCCTGACACAGAATCCAAGGCGCTTGGGCCCCAGTGGCAATCAGCAACAGAAGGATGACTGAACGCTGACACAGTCCCACGTACCCTGTAGGTGCTGGGCCTGTCACCACCACCACTGCTATAGCAGATGGCTGCACGGCCCCACCTCCTGTATTGCCCATATCAGAACTGATACTACATGGCCTGGGCCACTCACCACCTCTGCATGCCCCGTGCAGGCGCTCTACCCACAGCTGCAGTATACTAGATCCAGCCCGCAAAGATCTCCACAGTCTGGATCTGGCCCAGGGCATGAGGCAATTTTGACATACCTGTGTTAAGGGAGACATATCACGTTGTTGCTCTCTGTCTTCGTAGTGCACAACATACCATTCTGCCTGTGACCCACCACGCAGAGAGGCCGTCATCCTAGCACCTGGCTGCTGAAGCAATGCTGGATTTCACAGACATTTTAAAAGAGCATGATGCAGGTGACAGCACTATGGCAGCCAGCGGACAATTTTGTCCTAGCAGTAAATTCCTGCATACTCCTGGACTACTGGATACTCTCTAAGGCAACTTGGTTAATTCCTCTGATGTGATTCAGAAAGGCAGTTCTTAAAAGAGAGTTATTGAACCAAAAAGCTCAGGTAAGAAAGAGAGTCAGTGGTTTCAAGATGAATTTTCCCATCCATGTAAAATTCTGAGCTCCACCCACCTCTGAAGTATGAGTGCCTACTACAGATTGACCCTAGGAGAATTATAAATAGATCCATTAGACAGAAGAAAAAAAAAAAAGAGAGAGAGAAAAGCCCTCCAGACTGATAGATAAACTAAACCTTAATACCAAAGTGCAACTAGAATAACAGTGTACTAGGATACTACCACAGCATAAGAGTGATGTTGTAGCCATGATGGTCCAGAAAGTATGCGAGAGGCAAGGATTTCTTAGGGTAATATCTTTTATTGGACCAACTATATAATCGGGATAGAGTTAGACAAGCTTGTGAATGCAAAGCATTCTTTGCCAGGTCTGCCTAGGATATTACATACTTTTTGTGTTCCTATGTCCCTATCTATAGCATGAGGTAGGAATAAAGACTGGAAAATAAATCAAAATTCAGTGTTACTTTTCTTCCCCCCTTTCAAAAAGACAGGAAAGTTTTGCAGGGGCGGGGGAGGCTCAGGATACAAAGTGAGAATTGCAGACAATTAAATGCTTTCATAATTCTTGGTGAAAGACTGGATTGGGCAGGAAAAGAGTGGCTTTGCAAAGTTCAATATGAAGTTCTATTTCTATCTGACAGTAACATTATTATGGTCCTCATGGCATGGACTTGAATGCCTTAAGGCACCACTATATTAGAATGAGTATAAGACTCCTTAACAACCGAGTTAGGCAATGTGAAATAGTGGCCTGAGGACTTCCTGGAAAGATTTCTAGTTTTTTAGAAATAGTCTTCTCTGGAAATGAGATGTTTGATGAACCTTCTGAGGTCCAGAGGCTAAAGATGTCTTTCATGGGAACAGGGGTGGGAAAGAAAAATGACAGAAAATAGGCAGAGCAGTATGCTAATCAAGGCTTAGTTGGTTTAGAAATCATAAAGGAACAAGTAAGCCATGCAAAATGGTCTACAGCAAAATGGAAGCTGTATGGATGAACAGACAGGAACATGGACAACTTCTGTCAAATCAGTACAAAGGAATCAAAATCTCTCGAGTGAAAAGAGTCAGCTTTTTCATACTGACAGTATGAAATACACCTACTGAGAGGATCAAAAGCTCTATGAACCTAAATTTCCTTGTCCCGCTGAAGATCACCAATAACCCGGAATAATTCGTGTGACAACACTGACAAACTGGAACCGGGGAAACTAGTTTTAAAGAAAATCTAATTCGGAACCAGGTTAAATGCCAGAAAACCACCTTTCCTGGGGAACGGGGGGGAGACAGGACAGAGTGAATGTTATGGATTATCCTTTGCAAATAATCTCTAGAGCCACTTGTTTTAAATCCATCACTGGGCCCACATTCCTGATTGTTGCTTGTTGACTCAATTGTCAACAAAGAGTAGTAAGGACTGAGTTCCTTGTGAGAGGCTGTAACAATAACTGCTTTGTCTAAAGGAGAGAAGGATCAAGAGGGCTGTTTTTTCAGGCAGTAACTTGAGCCATACGAGGTTCTGAACCTTGAGGATATTCCTTCTCATTGTCCTGAGGAAGCTGAAGTTGACAGGTTACCTAAAGAGGGAAACGTACCAGCAGAGGAGATGTAAATCCTGGTCTTCGGCCCAATAAAATCATGTCTTTATCATTACTGTACCTACATCATCTTCCTCCAGTGTTACAAATCCTTACAATTTTTTTTCACAGGTGATCTGGAAGGTGTTGGATAAAAAGTAGTCTTATTTTTGTCTTTAATTTCAGGAAGATTTGCTTTGGTTCAAAAGGGCCATCATCTCCCATTACTGTCAACTGATGTAGGTGGAAGTGCGGCTTCCACAATAAAAGATCACAACCTAACATTTCCAACAGGCTGACCTCTGGAAAGATGGTAGTCCCTTAATTACCAGGCGAGGGCAAGGGAGGGACATGTGAGCATGCTGGAAATTACATTATGGAGGCAGGAGGTAACGGGGATTTGTTAGGGAACAGGACAGGAAATGATGAAGACGTGAATGTGAGAAGCAGACAGTTGACTAAGGGGCTGCACAGACATAAGGGGGTTGCAGAAATCTGAAAGGGTACAAGGCGAATGGAGTGATGGAGAATGCAAATATAACGATTAGAGAATTATGAAGGGAAATGGGAGATCTGTGTGGGGAAGTGAATGCAGGAGGAAGGACTGAGGATGAGAGAAGCATGGGATAGCATGGGGGAAAAAAAGGATGGAGCTGGTAGAGGGGGGAACAGAATGGACACAGCCAATGTCCTGGGATTTGGAGAAGGTACGCGAGTTCCCAGGATGAAGTGAAAAGAGAAGGCCAGCACTTTAACACCTACATTCACAGCTGAATTACGAACCCAGGAAGATCACACACAAATTTCCCCTCAGGGAGGAATTCGTTTTTTAGAACGTCACAGGTTTTCAACTAATTTGGGAGGTCAGACTCATAATTTCTGAACACCTGGTACTGCCAAATCCTACTGACACTATCTTCCATAACCATCCTTCCGCTTCTCTGCACTTGCTGATGTCTCACTTGGCAAAACAGCCTTCCCAATGTTCCCCTGAGATCCCTTCAAATAAATTTGATGTTATCATTAAATATAGACTAGGCCACTGGGTTTCTCTCTGCTGTTCACATATGTTAAACAGACTGACCAACCACTAACTTCCAAGATTATTCTTCCCCTCCATTTTCACTCTCTCTATAGGAACAGACCAGCTATTACTTCAGCATCCTTGAAATGGCCAGTTCTTTAAAGGAAGAAAAAGGGAAATTATTATACATGAGCAGTGTAATCTTAGCCTCTCAGGAATCCTGCTCTTTGCTTCAGTTGAGCTGAGTTTTTAACCCCTAGAACAGGGGTCGTCCCTGCATCATGCCACTGTGAGCTTCAATGGAGGGGGCACTCTTCCTGTGCCATGCCACAGCCAGGTGGCAGCAAGAAGCAGCCGAGGAAGCTGAGTCCTCCTGCCACCCTCCCTCAGACCTGAACTGGGTCATTTCAGCCCCTGCTGGTAAGCATTGCTGACCTCTCCTCTAGAATTTGAAGAAAAAAAAAAAAAAAAAAACTTTCCCTATGCTGGAAATCATCCAAGTGTTTCCTGCCAGCCCACTTCAGAGGCAAGACTGAATGTTACATTACTGAGTCCTGCCCAGGTTGTTACAAAATCCTCAATTAAATTGCTTTCATTTTCTATTAATAAAAGAACTATTAGAAAGCTATACAAAAGGATTTTAAAAATTCATTTTAAAAACTCATTCACTGTGCCATTTGTCAGTGTGCAACATAAATGCCAGGAAGGAGGTCTGGTCATTCCCACATTTTCCACACTTGATTATTTATATCCCCAAGGAAAGCCAAAGTCCCCAACATTACAAAACTAATAAACATAATGAAATAAGTGGATAAATTCTGCCTTCAGATGCATTTGCCTTCATTACATTTGAGGAAATAGGCACTGTGTCTTCAATGATCCAAGACAGACTTTGATTGTAATTAAAACAACCTTGGGCAGAACCTCAGCTAGGGTAAATTAAATGCATCTCCTCTGAACCCAATAATATACCTGTACCAACTGATGCTAGTTGAAAACCTGGTCCAGTGTTATAAAGTAATTCATCAAGGTACTTGAATGCATGCAATTGGACTAGTCATGTTTTTAAGTAGGCTCATAGTGTTGCTATAAGGATGACAGCCTAGGGAGCAGTTAAAAAGAATATATTTTGCACAATATTTTTGTGCACTGGACCACCTAAATAATTGGGAGAAATATTACAATTTATCTGCTTTTTCTGCTAACTTTGCTATACTCCACACATAATTAGAAACCATCTTCTCTTTGGAACAGTCTTATCCTTTTACATTATTAGGTTTATCTACATCAGTTGCTCTTTATTTGCTCAACAGCTGGCAGCAACTTCTGATAACTTATTTTTACTCCACACATTTACTGCCGCTTTTTTTTCTTTTTTTTTAGCAACTATTTTCATTTACATAATGGAGTTTTAAAAGTCCTTGTTTTGCCTGGTCTTTAGCTTAGGCTGCATCTGCTCGTTTCCCAGACCTGAGGAAGAGCCTTTTGTGCCTGCAATCTTATCTAACATCTCTCCCAACTATATAACTGCTCCAATAAAAGATATTACCAAACAAATCTCACTTCTTGCACATTCTTAAAGTAAATGATCTGGTTACACACCTTGCTGAACTGAGCTCTATACTGGGTTATTTTATTTTATACAGCATTATATATACACTTTTATTACTTTAAAATCAACTGAAAAGCTGCTAAAGATTTAAGGAGTTTCAATACCTTTGCAGCACAATTGCTACCATTTGTTTTTATTCAAATTATGTACATGTCAGACAAGTTTTGTTCTGGCATAAAATGCAAGAAAAAGTAATTTGCAAAACACGCTCTATTTCACTTTGATGTTTTTACTGCACTTGGGATAGCTACATTAACCAATTTTATGTGGTATGTAATATGGTTACCTGGGAACATACACAAAGGCTTTTCACAATAGTCAATATCCGCATGTTTCCAACAGGCATTCACGTACACTAACTTAATTTATTAGCATCCTGACCAAAATTCAACATAGGCAATCACATCTGGCATACCTAGATTTCTCCACACTTATTCTAAACTTTGTATACTGAAGATATGCACTATTAAACATGGGTTGCATTTCACTCCCCTCATGAAACTACATTTGGCTAACTAGCTTTGAGCAAAAGAGAGCTGCTATAAACAGTAT